GGCGATCCTGGAAACCCATCCTCACTCCACACCATTAGCCATGAACTTCAACTCCCTTTGGTGAAAAAGGTTTGTTCTCGCTTATGTCAGCTTATGATTATTCTAGTGTCCGTCGCCCTGTCTCACTGTTATTGAACCACATTTGTTCTGATTTCCCTATCGCACCCATACGTTAGAGCATTGCCTACTAGCCACCAAGCCAATCGACCCTACTGTTACCATTATCCCACCAGCAACACCCGCTGTGCATCCATCCACCTGCCTGTCCATCCATTCTTCCCACTTCTCTCACTCATCACCCATCCCTGCGCTGCCACTCACATGACCACCAGGGCTCGCCTGCCGCCAAGTATGCGCCTTCATTCACACACATTCAGCGTCTGTGCATCTCATGATCCGACGCCTCTGCCGTATGACTATCCTATATCACATCACACAGTTACGACCAAATGCTGAGCATCTAGACCAGACTCCACCATTTCCGCCAAGTGACCATCCATTCCACACAACCATGTGCATTATACCCTATCACCTTGCGGGGCGAGTGTACACATATGACATTTAAATACACTTAGTAGTTTCTTGGTGGATTGCCACACATAGCCTGTGATCCATCCAATCATCCTGGTCCTATGACACTGTCCATCATGCTTAGTTCCAGATTTTCAGCTAGAGAACGCTGACGACTGTGCAGGTAAGGACCAATTCCCTTTCTTGCCACCCTTGCCCTGTTCGCCATCTCCCATGCCCCACAACTTACGCATTGTTTTCTTCATCTAGACACGCGTGCTATCTTCCATCTATAGAGGCCACCCTAAGCTGAGTGTATGGGCGCGCCGATAGTACCAAATGAGACCCCATTGAGATATTTCAGGATCTGAGGAGAAAGCAAGACCACACAACACAACTTTGATGCTACTGTTTGCGAGTTTGCTCCATAAGAAAGAAGTTACCAACCTAAGTCACAGCGTGCCGTGTCCTATTCCACCATGACCACCCGAGAGATTATTAATCGCAAAGCACCAAACCTGTGCATATCCATTGAAAAATCGGTAGCCAGGAAATAGGTCCACAACTGCCCTGTGAGCATTCTCTTTGACCACAACCACCTGTGCATCCATCCACCAGGTAAACTTCAGAAGACGTCCAACAACTAGCACAGAGTATACTGTCCATACCTTCAAAGTTACCGATAGCTAAGATTCCATCAGGAAAAACCCATCTCAACTGTTGCAATACCATTCCACCTAAAGTGATCGCCATTCCTTAGTCTCTCCGAAAGCCTACATGGCGCCACTTCTTACTTCAGCACCCTCCGCAGTAATACGTCTCATTTTCTGATCGCTATTATACCCATGAACCACAATTTAAAGTACTGCTGTCCAGTTAATATACCCATGGCCTTGCTCAAAATTTCCCTAATGTTATGCAGACCAACCATCTATTCCAGTCACGCATCTCTGCATTGCCGAAATGACCCTAAAGAAAAAAAATCAAACTGCTTGCCTGATGACTGCCCTACCACTCCTAGCCTAGCGCATAATCCATACTGCATCACTTTAGTGCACACATCACTTCTTGTAAAATTAAGAGTATCACTGAAGCTACATGGCGAATGCAGCTCATACCTAGAAAGTAATTTGCTATCAACGGTGCGTCCCTTAGCGTCCATGTCTTTGGATCCATATTCTCACCCTCATCCCATCCTGTATAATTTTTAGTGAGATAAGATGGAGAATTTAAAAAGATTATTTGTATTATCAATTGAAACACTTACTGCATGTTTAAGAATTTGATAGACCTTCTAAATCGGAACATCCACTGTGGCGAGTTCCATAGAGAATTCCTCTGAGAACCTCCTGCTATGCACGTGATGAGTCGCTAGATATAAGTCATAAAACCATCAATACTGCCTGTCCATAGTCGGGAAGTTGCCCATCTAGTAATCTCAGTGTCCACCGAACACGGCCTGTGTTAGCATTCCATTTTGCCACTTCTGCTTCTTTCGTCCAAATGAAAATCACCATATCATAGTGTCAGTTGAAACCACTATCGAAGGTAAACTATCACATTCAGTTAAATATGTTGTATGCAATGGCACCATGCAGAATGCTCATAAAAACAATAAATAAATATCGCTCAATCGACACAGATGTTGTACATGCCTATAGGGCTCAGTGTACCCTATTGGAGGGCCCGAGCTGCATGCAACCGTGCAAAGGTTGGCCTCAAGGTCTTCTGTCTTCTGAATGCTATCGTGCATGTTCTACTCCAAGGCCTCTTCATCCCTCCCAACTGTGCAGCCCATTCACTGTAGGAGACAGATATGCCATTTAGTTACCAAGTATCCACTAGGGTCAGACTAAAAGCACAGATGACATTTAGTGCACATCTTGAGCCCACTGGACACATACACTACCGGAGTGGACAAGTTGGATCTAGTAGTTGCTGGACTTGCAGCCTTCTCCTCACGTCATCTACAATGTGGAAAGGAGAACAACATTGGCGAACAGCTCTATCTACCATGAATTCTGTTAAATTGCCATGAAAGTAGTTCAAGAAAACCGCTTCTGCCAAGTATATCTGCTGGATAGTAATTGGTAGAGTATCAAATAGTCCCCAAGTTCCTCCTTCTTCTTGTTTGTGATGAACCTCATCTGCTTTGACAAAGCAACCTACCTCTCTGTATCCTCTGAAGTCTTGGTATTCAGGAACAATTTTCTGATAAGAGTTCCACAGTAGAGTACTAGACCGCATCACACAAAAGAATGGTGTCTAAGCCAGCCTTACGTCTCCTCTAAATTCAACCCCGCATGCTTACGAAAGTCTGGAAAAGAAGGATAATACAGAAATCTCAAAATCTGGTACCACGGTAGAATCCAAAAGCAAAACAGCCAGAAAATTCCACCAGATTAAATCGGATCGAGTTGCGTACCATAACACTAGAGTAAAGGGATTACGCAACTCAAAAATCACAACAGCTATACCTAGTCAGTTCTGATAGGACATGCTTTGGGCATAACTCATCAGATCTTATAACTGCTGCGTCTTGATATTACCCAACTCGAGTCTTGATTGTTAAATGCGTACCGGTTATTTTCAGCCCCATTAAATAGTTTACCAAAATGAGCATGATTTATCCCTTATCTACTTTTCTACTCCTACTACATATCTGTTATCAGGTGCATTAAGTATTTTTTCCTATAGTACCCCGTACCCTATGTACGATGTACTAGCAATAGATTTCATCATTATTTATAACACCGATATAACATGAGCCTATAACCGTCAGCCACTCTATGATGCTAATCTCCTAATGTTTTATATCATATTCATTAGTCCGACCCCTGCCTGGTGCGTCCCGTGCTAACATGGTGCTACTATTATTATTACCCTCCACCTTTTGAAAATCGTAAAAATAGTCTTTATAAAGAACACCCTTGCGTACAATTCAATTGACATCCGATCATCCGAGCGTTTTTATTTACTGCTCTCGATCTGGGCAGGTTCAACTCTAATCCAAATAATTCTAAATTCAAGCATTCTTTGCTCTAATGCTAAATCTGCACCAATCAATTGGGAAGTAAAGCAAATTCAGATCACACCCACAGAACTTCAATTGTTAGCTCAGCCTACCACTAAACACGGCATGTTTATTGGCTGCTCAAGTAGCTTTCCAGAAAAATCCACATGATCTCGCTTATCATAATGCTAAGAACGACTGCGACATGCAATGATCTCAAGAAAGAGGGCTATTTTAAAGCCTCTCCTTCTGACCACAACAAAAAGATGTAGCCTGTTCAATGTTGATTTTTAAATAAGACAAACCTGGAAGGATTAATTAGCTCCATATGAACAGCATGATTTTACTAAGAGGTTTTAAAGTACATTGTTATGCTAATAGTGAATT